TGTTTTTTTTTTTTTTTTTGAAATAGGGTCGTACTAAGTTGCCCAGGCCGGGCTTGAGTTTGCAATCCTCCTACTTCAGCCTCTCAAAGAGTGCTAGAATCACTCAGCGTGGGATGCGGTCTGTACTTGGCCCAAGGCAGTGCTGTGATGCCTCCACGCTCCCTGCCTCCTCTGCACCCACCCAGGTCCCTATTGATCACACCTCGGTATTTGGTGCCCAGCCAGCCAGCCGTTCTCCAGGACGCCGCGATGCTGCCCACGTGGCGGTCAGAAGCGTAGTCAGTCAGGTCTGGCTGAGCCACTGCGCCTTCACTCCTGGCCCGGTACCGGCCTTTCTGAGGTTTCTCAGCTCCTGGGGCTCTGGCATCATCCTGGCAGCTCCAGCCCATCAAAGCCTATTTCTCGGCCCACTGTAAGGGCCTGGGGCTGGCATCCAGCTCAATAGAGAAAAGGGCATCTGTGTGTCCTCAAAAGCTCCCATCAGCCCCTCTGTGCCTGCCCCACGCCCCTCTCCTGTGTGTCCTCCTGGGGAAGGGGCCTGCGCCACCCCCTCTCCTGCCCTCCATGCAGTGGCTCCCTGAGCTGCAATTCTTCTCTATACCCTGGAAGCCCTTCTCCTCCTCCTCCTCCACCCTCTACTGAGGCCCGGCATCAACAGCCTTCAACTTAACAAAACCGATCAGGCAGAAAGCAGTCCTTGGGGTGAGCGCAGAAGGTAGAATTTAAATTCCACGGTCCACAAGAAGTCCAAAGACAGACAACCCCAATCCCTGAAAGACTGGACAGCTGCAGGAGGAACCCTGAGGGGAGGAAGCTGGCCAGGAGGCCAGGGAGACCAGAGGAGTGTGGACAGCGGGTGGACAGCGGACTCCCGGGAAAGGGAGCCCAGGCTATGGGGATGGCCGGTGTGGGGAGTGGCTGGACCCCAAGGTGTCCCAAGGACCGGGACCTTGGGGAAACAGGGCCACTGCGTCTCCGGCTTGTGAGCTCAGCCAGGGTGGAGGAGACATCTGGGCAGGCAGGCGGCTGTGGGCAGGGGTCCCAGAGCACGCCAGCACTGTCCGCGGGCTCCGGCCCTCCTACACCGTCATGAGTCACACACGATCACCCCTACACCATCACATCTCAAGCATCCCACTTCATTTATTACCAAAATATCACAGAATTCCAGTCATCGGTAACATACAGTGTTGAACACAAACCTGATACCTGTGGAAGGAACTGAGTGCCGGACAGCTGTGTGTTAGGGAACCATCAGTAACGCCCCAAACCGCATCACTCCGTACTTCAAAAATACGCTTTTGAGAGCTCTGGAAACTGAATTAAAATGTCTACACAGCTATGAACAATTGTTTAATAAAACTTTTTCATGTTTCCATTACATGTAAATATATCAATTTGGCATCTCTATAAAAACTCTGAAAATGGTGCAAAAGTTTCATTCTCTTTGAGAAAGCCATTGACAAAAAATATTCACACTTCACTAAAATTTTGAAAAATGGTCTTCTTTCAAAGCTTCTTTATTAATCTGAAATCTTCTGGATTATCAAAATCTAGGTTTGCTTTTTCCTCCTAAAACTCTACAGAACATTTATTCACAAGGATGTAAAGGAAAAAAATAAGACAGGCAATGGGGAGGTGGAAAATTTTAGGGTCTTTTTTCTTTTTCTGAAAATAATTTTTAAAAAAAGAAAAGCTAGTTACATAGCATCCTCAAAAGAACACAATGGGATTCATTTTATTGTTGACTTTTGGACAGCAATGTCAGACTTTATTGAAAACAAACCTATGTAAAAACAAAGTTAAAACAAAAAATGGTACCTGAAAATAAATTATTTCATATAAAACAAATCAATAACTTAAAACACACTAATATACAAAATGTCTAGCCATCTACTGTACAACGCGGGAATCAGCGGATAGCGCCCGCCCCTCCCCCAAGCAAGCCCCTGTCATCGCAAAGTCACAAGGGGAGAGGGGACAGGGCGGCCCCAGCCAGCAGGGGACGGGCCAGCCTTCTCCTCAGGGAACGGCCACATGGTCCTGCCAAGCCCCCACCAGCCTAACTTGGGTGCTTGTGGTTGGTGACTTACAAGTTTCTTTTTTTTCTTTTCTTCTTTTTTCTTAAATGACCAACAACACGACAAACTATCACTGACAGGTTGCGGGAATGTAATACAATCATCAGAAGTCGGGGCAAACCCCGCGGGTGAGATTCGGGCTCTGCTGCTCTGGTGAGAAGGAGCCAATTACCCAAGCCACTCGACAGAAAGCACTGTGAGCCCAGAGGGCGGACAGGGCCCCCAGAAGGGTGATGAGCCCTAGGGGTCTCCCCTAAGGAGCTGCCTCGGGTCCCAGGGGGTGAGGCAGGTCACGGGAAGACAGGAGATGAGGCCGTGGTGGTTTGCTAAAGCAGGGAGGCAGGCTGCCCACGGCATGCAGAAATGCAACCAGGCCGAGCCGAAGGGGACGGGACAGCGGAGATGGCAACTTCGATTTTTCAAGGCCACTGATGGACTAGGGCACTGCATCTTTACAACTTAGAGGCAGACAAGAGGCTCTTGTCAACAGGCAAACTGGGGTAGCCAATTCACTGCTACGCACTAACTGCCTTGGGGTTCGTCTGCTTCTGGGGCCCAGCAGGGACCACCGGGCTGCCAGCTCTGAGGTCCCCAGACGCCCACCCAGTGCAGACTGGCCCCGGTTAAGGAGGCTGCGCTCCAGGGGGACAGACCCACCTGCTTCCGGAGGAGCTGTCACCCAGCGCCACCTGTGGCAGCCTTCAGAGTTGTGGGACGGGGTGGCCACGGGTGGAGCCGAGAGGTACAGCCGGCACTCAGGGCCGCTGCTCGGCACGACAGCCCGAAAAGCGAAATCAGGCCGGAGCAGCGTGGGGGCAAATGGACAATTTGACTGGATCTACTTCACCAGGTCGGAGCTGCCGAGGGCTTGGTGAGCACCAGGGAGGTTACAGAAGCCCAAAGAGTTCAACCACAGCCTCTTGGGGATCTACGGAGCTAAATGCTGAGAAACTAACACTGCCTGCGCTTCGTTCTTTTTCATCGAACTTCCCAAACAAAAGCTACTCTTTTCACTCAGTATAAACACAATCGATCTATGTAAAGTGTTCCCATGGTTTCTTCTGGGTTGTGACTTTTTCTTGGTGGTGCTGGAGATGAAACCCAGGGCCCTGAGCAGGCTGGCAAGCGCCCCCAAGCCTCTGGTTTGTAACTTTTACAAAGGAGGCTCTTTGCAGAGGGGTCCAGAAGACTCAACAAACCCGTGCCCCGGGCCAGCATCTGGTGCCTGGGTGGCAAACTGCCTTTCAAAAGCACTGTTTCGAGAGCAAAGCCCTTCTGCAGCCTGGCACATTTCAACTCCCCAAGGAGTGCCCAGGGATTTCCGGCTTGGAGGCTGCTGAAACGAGGCTTTCCCTGACCTGAGAGGCGACAGGGGTCCCCTCTGACCACCAGGACACATCGGCCCTCAGAGGAGACGGGGAGGGAGAGCAGCGGAGCCCAGTGAGCCGTCACGGTTCACGCCGCAGACGGACACCTCTGCCAGGGTGGGACTCTGGCCAAGGCTGGCAGGAATGCACAGGAGTTAGGGGCCATGGGAGAGGCTTCGGGTTTGGAATGCACCTTTCCCCAAATATGCTGGCTCAAAGGACCTGAAAGGGCTATCTTCCCAGGAAAACATTCTGCTCCCCGAGGAAGGAGTGCTCTGGGGAGACAAGAGCGGAGATCTTCCCTGTGTGGAAGTGGGCAGCGGGGCTGGGGCTCCTGGGGAAGGAAGAAGAGGTCCCACCAGCCTGGGGCCCACTCTGAGGAGATACGGCCCAGCGCTCACAGCAGCCTCTGTGATACGTGAGGACAATGTAAACGGCCCCTCTGAGGGTGAAGGGGGCAAGGGACAGGTGGCCTCAAGCTGTCCGAGGGCTTCTGGAGACGTGGACCTACTCTGGAGATGTTTGTGCCTGTTACTCAGTTTTCTACTTAAATAAATGAATAAATAAATAAATACCTAGATAAATAGATAAAATAAATAATGTTGCCACGCTATGACATTAAGAACTAATAAATGACCTGTCATCACATTTGACATCTCACGTCAAGGCTAAAAGCTGCCAGGACAGAGCTATCCTCTTCCAGCTACTTCTCAAACCTGATCAGGTCCCTACTCTGGGTAGGCCCTACCTGCTCCCTTCCTACCAGCTCCCTGGGTAAGAAGCACCTTTCCGTGGCTGCCCATCCCTATGCCACGGCTTACAAATCCTTTTTCTTCGAGGCAAGTGCTTATTTCTTAAGATCTTTTGACCCCTCCCTGAATGCTGGTCTGTCTGTGCCTTCCCTAGCCAAAAAGAAAGAAAAGGTAAAACAAAAAACAAAACAAAACTCGAGCAAAACAAAATCAAATTTAATGGTCTTAAATGCAAAAGTAAAAACAAACAAAAAACACAAAAAAGCAAAAGAAAATTAACAGAACAGAACAACCCAAAATGTCAAGGCAGTTATGAAGAGAACTTTTGAGGGTTAATCTTTAAAACTACAAATCAAAGGTTTTTGTTAATAGATAACTGGCAAGAAGTAAGTACTTTTCTGCTGAGTGTCCATACGAAAGCAAATCCAAAACAAAATCCGACTAGGATAGAAAAAAGGCTAGCGCTCACAAGAAGGGATGCGAGAGATACAATGCTCAAATGTTCATGTGTTATTAAAAAATAGAGCTATCTTATGCATTCAAGCTACGTTCAATGCTCCTGGAACGGGAGAGGTCATCGTGAATGACAGGATCCGATGTGTGGGGCACCATGCATGCAAAGTGTGGACAGAAACTCGGGGTGGCGGAGCAGCGACTCGCCGTCGGGAGTGCCTGGAGCTCAGGGCCGACTGGAATACACTGGAGTTTCCCTGAAACTCTTTGGTCCGTTCCCACGGGCGCCCGGGCGACAGGACACCTCTGTGTCCTTCTCTGGAGGGCCTGGCCCAGCCCGGCGTGCAGCCCCCTCCTCCCTGGTGGTGGCCCACGCCGGACGGGGCCACTGCCACGCCCAGAACCCCTTGGCAGAGCCCGGGACTCAGTGAGCAGGAGGTGGCAGTGGGACCTGCTCAGGAAAGCAATTTCCTGTCAACCAAAGCATACATCACTTAAGATGCTGAAGCAGCTGAGCAGACGCACACTCGCATTTGTCTAACATCTTTAGGTAAAACTGAAACTGAAAGATCACTTTTGATCCAGTTTGTGGAGACATGGAATAAACGAGTGTTAGACAGTCTTAGCAGTAAAGCATGCTTCAGTCTCACCACCATCCAGAGGGACTGGTTAGTCAACGCAGTCTACTTAAGTTTCTGTTTAATATATATTTTAAAGGAAATAACTTAAGAAACTTAAAATTGGTCTAACATTGTGGGATTTCAAACATTTGAACATGTCGGTTGCATCCCAGAGTATAAAAACGTTTTCACTTCTCATTTAGACTAAGACAAACACTTGTGAAAATTGGCGCAAAATGAGTTGTACACTAACAAAAAAGTTTCAACTTCTTCACTCTTAATTATCTATTCCGTACAAAAAAAAAAGCATGAGCGAGTTATTTGTGGGACTTGTTGGTTTTGAAGGAAACCTGTAAGATTTTGTCCCCCAGGCGGTAGCCGTTCAGACTTGCTATGGCCATTGCAGCTTCTTCATAGTTTGTCATGGTCACAAAACCAAACCCTTTGCACTTGTTGGTGTTGAAGTCGCGAATCACTTTCACGTTGGTGACGGCGCCAAAGGGGCCAAACATCTGCCAGAGGATCCCCTCGTCGGCGTCTTGCCCGAGGTTGTAGATGAAGATGCACCAGCCCGAAGACGCGTTTCCTGGGACATTGACACCAGAAAGCCCACTCATGTGATCTACACCCATGGGGGAGAACCTAGCAAACAGAGAGCACAGCGTTCAGGTCAAGGTCACGTGGGCGACGAAAACACAGGTGGGGGCAGAGAGGGGACAGTGGCTCGGCATGCGCTGACCCGTGCGCTCCGGCCCCTTCCTGTCCTCCAGCTCGAGCTACAGGGACAAAAAGGCCGCGGCACAGCCAGGACCACGGCTGATGTGGGGCCGGATTCGGGACGGTGGCGGAGGGTGGGACTCCTGCTGCACGGGGGGTTGCAGCAACACTCGCCGCCACTGCTGCTGTTTTTGTACAGGTTGGTTAGCTGCTCAGGGGCACCCGCATTTTAAAAGATGGACACCTCCTCAGGGCCCCTGTGTGACAGGAAGCCTCACACTCTGCGCGATGCAAGGGCAGGAAGAAGTGTGCTCTGCTCCCAAATGTAGCGCCCTTTGCTCCTCCGACCACCGCACAGAGCCACTGCGGGGCACAGGAGAATCCCCTCGCACAGCTCTGGGTGGCTTGAGCCACCCCACAAGGACCTGGGCCCAAGAGCGGAGAGCAGGGCTGGGAGGGACACCAGAACCGAAGGCACCCGTGGGGCCGACTCATGGAGTCCTGTCCACAGCCACACTTTCACGTGCACCAAAGGTTATTCTGGCAACACGCAAATGCTGCAGTGAAGATTAAGGCAGAGACAAAACTCAGTGAGGCCACATTGCCTTCTAATGCCTCAGACCCCCGGGACTACGTTAAGAACATCTGAGTAGGGTTCAGCGGCTGCGAAGCCACACAATACACCTGGAGAAGTATCTGCTCCAAACAGAAACACGGTTTCTGGCTTTGGGCCGGCGCAGGCCCAACTGAAGCAGGTACTCTCGGGCACTACTGACGCATCACCCTCTGCAGACGCCATCCATGAAGCAAGCGGCTCAGCCCCAGGGTCCCTGTCCACAGTGGAGAAGGAATCAGAAAATGCAACTGGCTGTGGTTTCAAAAATCACCAAAGTCAAGCTGGGCGTGGTGGTGCACGCCTGTCATCCCAGCACTCAGGAGGCTGAGGCAGGAGAATCGCTGTGAGTTCGAGACCAGCCTGGGCTACACAGTGACTTCAAGGTCAGTCTCAACTACAGAGTGAGACCCTGCCTCAAAAAACCAAAACAAACAAACAAACAAAAATCACCAAAGTCAACCAGCCAGAAATGGGTTGGTTAAGTAACTCAGTGGCCTGCGGGTGACCCTGAGGCCGCTGGGCCACATTAAGACCAGGTATGTTCTGTAGAGGGTGGGGAAAGGCAGCCGGGGTCTGTGGGACACTGAGCGGAGCTAATTTTCAGAGAATTGGAAGGAGCGCGCGGCCCTTCCGGCCTGCGTCACCAGCCACCGCACCAGGCCCCACACCCACAGCTCAGTCGGAAGAAGGAGTTAAGGAAACTGAACAGCGCAGACCTTCTTCCTCGTCCCTACTCCCAGGCAGTGCAGCAGGGCAGCAGAGGCCTCAGTCCATAGGAGGAAGGGCACACGTCCACATAGACACCACGGCACTTTATACAGGGACTCAAGCATCCTGGGCTCTGCTATCTTCCTGGTCTGGGGGTTTTCTGGCTTTTTGAGACAGGGTCTCACTATATAGTCCAGGCTGGCCTTGAACTTGCAGTGGTTGTCCTGCCTCAGTCTTCGAGAGCTGGAACTGCAGGCCTGTGCCCTGAGGGATGGCTGGATACTAAAAATAATCTGAGGTAGTATTTTACCAAATACTAGCTTAGGCCATAACCAAATGGCTGTTGTTCTTAGTACTTACTCTTTTTTTTTTTTTCTTTTGAGATGGGGTCTCACTATGTAGTTGAGACTGACCTAGAACTCACTTTGTAGCCGAGGCTGGTCTCAAACTCACAGTGATCCTCCTGCCTCAGCCTCCCAAGTGCTGGGATCACAGGCGTGCATCACCATGCCCAGCAGGATTTACTTTTATTGGCTGGACTTTTCTCCTGCCATGAGACCTGATTTCTTTGACCTTGACAGAACACACAGAACACGAACACACACATGCACACACGCACGCACGCACCCACGCACACACACACACACACGCCTGTGCCTGAAGGAACAGGAGAACAACTCCTTCCTTGATTCCAGGCTTCTCTGGATGTGGCAGGACCTTACAGGCAGCTCAATGCTCTGCTCCTCTGTGCCTTTCTTGTTCTCCTCATCTCCCTCCCCACCAGCGGCAAAGCTTTGCCCTTCCTCCTGCCTGGCCACCGTGTCCCTCTGGCTGCTCTAGCCCTCCAGCTTGACCAGCTTCCTCTTTTCTCATCCCCAACTGTGACCCAAGGCCCGGCTCCTCCTCCAGCCGTCCCCTTTCCTTCCTCACATGCTACCATCCACACATCCAGGCCCCAGGAGCAGCGCTCTCTGAGCTGCTGTTGGGATTCTGAAAGCTGGATTTGACAGTTTTTATTTGTTTGTTTTGGTATCGGGGATCGAACTCAGGACCTTGAGCTTGTGAGGCAGGCAGCTAAACCACTGAGCTAAATCCCCAGCCCTGAAAGTTGGATTTTAAAATCCAGCTCAATCTGTCCAAAAATGCTTTCCAGCCTCGGCCTTTAAACCAGAAGGGCCAGGCAGGCCAGCTGCTGGACCTGGGCACACAGGAAAGCCACTGCTCTGGGGCAGCACTTCTGAGAAGCTGGCACTGAATAGCCAGACACAAAACTGACTTAGTCAGTGTGTGCAAAGGCCAGACTCAGGACACTGCTTAGACATCCGATGTGGCCGGAGCAGCTCAGCAGCAGAGAACTGGCCCAGCAGGTGTGGCCCACGCCCCATCCTTAGCACTACGAGAGAGGAGAAACCCAGCTCGCATGCAGATCAGTCTCCCGAGCATCCCTGGGCTCCACCTCCTCTCCCACGGACACAGAAGGGTCTGTCACCCCCAGTTCCATCCTGGTGCTGCCAGAAACTGGATGGCACCAACGTGTGTCTGCCCAGGAGCCTGGTCCTGTGCCATCTCCGCAACTCCCGTGAGTGTCAGCTCCTCAGTGGACACTTAGGTCAGCGCTCCTATCTGCAGATCTGAGAACCGCAGAAAAAATCGCATGAACCTCCATACCTGTGCTGACTGTGTGCAGAATTCCCCGTCACTGTTCCTAAGCGCTAGCTACAGCACGTTGACTATATACACAGTATTCAGGCTGTGAGGGAGACATGCTGGGCCTTGAGCATCTCTGGATTTTGGTACCTGAGGGAGACCCGAAACCTGGCCGCTGACAGACACCCGTGCATGGTGTTCATGCAGGTGCATTTCTGATGGGGGTGGTGCACAGCCATGAGACGGATCCCAAGATGCGGCTGCTGGGAGCAGCGAACACCCCCAGCATCTTCCACTTGGTGTGGTGCCTGCAGCAGCGCGACGCCAGCGGCCACCTGCGGACTCACCTGAACCTCTGTGCCTGGTGGTGCACGGGGCCCCCGAAGCGCCGCGCGGGCGAGTGGTACAGCTGTGAGAGGAGCGCCACGTTTTTGTTCTGGTTGGGGTTGGCTGCGAACTTCACTGTGATGGGCTCAGAGGAACCTGGGGGTTTATGACCATTGAAACTGGTAATTGCCTCTTCTGCTTCCGACCGTTTGTCAAACCGGATGAACGCAACCCCTCTGGACAAACCTTTTTAACAAACCAACAAAAATGGAGTTAGGGGGAAAAATGCCAAAGCCTTGTAAAACTGAAAAGCAAAAGTCAAGTCAGTCTGCTGCAGTTCAAATGGGATGTCCAGTCCACAAAATAAGCAAAAGTTAACCCTAAAGAAAAAAATAAATGAATCGATTAAAGCAAATACACAGCAACTGATAAACACTAAGGCTTCACTCTTCTAGCTGAAAGGGGCTCCACAGTCCTCGTGTAAAGGTTATTTTGGTGACAAACTTTCCAAATAGGTACCCAAACCTATTTTTTTAAAAAAAAAGCAGGATCAGGAGAGGCAACTTCTACCAGCAAGGCCAGTGTGGGGCACAGATATGCTGGGAGGGAGGGTCCAACCCCTCCCTGGGCTGCCCAGCTGCTGTAAGCAGGAGCCATGGGGCCAGCTGAGGGCGACTGCACCTTCCCGACCTGCCCTGCAGACAAACTGGCCCCGCAGAGCCACTCCCTGCACACCCTCCCCTTCCCCAGAAGGTGTAAGTCCCAGAGCCAGGCTCCCCTCCAGCTCGGCCTGCCCCAGCATGGCATCTGTTTCTTGGACTCCCCTGAAGACATGGGATCTCCCTTGAGCCCCAACTGCCCTCAGACAGAGGCAGAGAGAAAGGTGCCCGGGTGGGCTCCACGGGGCGGAGCACGTCAGGAGCCCTCGTGGGAGCTCCTCTGGGGCTGGTCCTCTCCTACCCGGAGGGGAGTCCCTTCTCCTGCCACTAGACAACCCGAGGAAGGCACACCCCGCGCTCGTTGGCACCCAATCCCACCAAAGAGCAGCCCGAGACCCAGACCCACGGCTGCTCTCCTGGGAATAAGAATGTGGGGTAAAGGTCGAGAGGAGGCCCGAGTGCGGGAGACGCGCCAGACGAGGCCCACATAACATTCTGGGCTGGGATCGCATGCGTGGCCTGGCAACAGAGGCTCCTTATCTCAGCGAAGGCGGTCGGGTTTATTCTCCTTCAGCACGCGGTGAATGACAGCGGGGCAACGCAGGGCTGCGGGGGACCCGCTGAAGGAGTGGCCGCCACCTGTCCCTCAGGGCCTCGCCCCTTCCACAGGCCTTCCCAGGTCTCCAACTGCCCACGGCTGAGACACGTGGGCCCTAGGCGAACAGACACTCAGGGACTCAGGGGAGGAGGAGTCTGTACAACTGTGACTTCTGTGGGCCCCACACCCTCTGCTCCCACTGCGCCTGCCTCATCCGGCCACCCCTCCCCAGCACAGCGCTCTCCAAAGCTGTGCCGCGGGGCCCCACAGCTGGTGAACATGCATTCAGACATCGCGTGACCAGAGGCTCCCGCCGCTTAGTGAGGTCAGACATAGCCACCCAACCGGGGACTGGGACTGGTCTAGGGCCTGAGCTCAACGTCAAATTTCAGGTCAGAGGAATCCCTGAAAACACACATTTGGCAAATGCTGTTTTAATTTCTTCTGCACACGAAGGCCAGCTCAGTCAGCCCTGGAAACAAATGCAAAGCTAACTCCAGGCAAGGACAGAGCCGAGGCCGCAGCCCCCACAGCAGCCCGCAGGGAGGACCTGTGTGCAGCCAGCTGGGAAGCCAGTGTGTGAGGGTGCTTTCCTTGTCTGCTTTTGCACAAGGACTTTCGAACAGAAACTTCCTGAGTGAAATGAAGAAAACCTGGAGAGAGAGAGAATGGCGCTTCCTGCCAGGAGGCACAAAGTCATCACACTGATGAACACATACCTTCTGAGGCTGGCTCTGCACTGTTACGTCATTATGTCTTATGTTTTAGGATTAAGAGCAGAGACCAAGAAAGAAATGGCTCAATCTCCCATGAGTGAACTAATAAAATTCACAATTACCACAAAGAAGCAAAGAAACTGAAGTTGCCCAGACTGGTCCCAAACTTGTAATCCTCCTGCCTCAGCCTCCTGAGTAGCTGGGATTACAAGTGTGTGCTGTCACACCCGGCTCAGGATGCAGAGATTCTTAAGAGAGCACCCCAGTTTCTTCACCCTCGAAGCATGCCACCTGAAGGCAAACTCTACTCGAACCCACTGGCTGCCCCTTCTCTCCTCTGGGCCCTGGGCCTTGTGAGGCCCCAGCAGCAGCAGCCCTCTGTACCCCAAGGTGGGGACACAGGGGGAGGGAGGGGCTGTGAGAGGGTCCCCTGGAGTTCCCTCCTTGCCAGGCTGGCAGTGAAGGCTGAGGGAGAGCCCAAGGCTGAGGTGCCCCAAGCAGCCCCGGGACACTGCCCTTGCAGAGGGGAAGGGGGCAAAATCCCAGCCAACAGACGAGGGGAGCCGTCTGCAGAGGTGACCATTCTGGGCATGGTGGGGATGTGTGTTCCCAAGAAGCTAAGGGGAGCCCCAGGAAAGCCAGGCGGTGAGGTGCATCCTCTGAGGAGGGGATCCATGTGAGCGCTGCTGACTCCCCCGCCTCGTAGTGCTGGGTCACAGCCAGACATAATGGCCAGGCAGAGCTGTCCGCGTGGGGCCTAGAAAAGGAGGGTCAAGGAGCCGACCACAGGCCACTCAGTGACGCCGCTCAGATGCTCGGGTGCAGGATGTGGTAGGGTGCACTCATGTGCTGGCCGGCTGGCCACTTCTCTGAACCGGTCTTGAGGGTTAGGAGGACCCCAGGGGCCCATAAGAAATGTCTGGCATAGCTAGATATGGTGGCGCACACCTGTAATCCCAGCACTCGGGAGGCAGAGGCAGGAGGATCGCTGTGAGTTCAAGACCAGCCTCGGCTATATAGTGAGTTCCAGTTCCAGGTCAGTCTCAACTACATAGTAAAACATGTTTCAAAAAAACCAAAAAAGAAAAA